CGTAAAAAAGAACTAACAATGATTGAAAAGAGCTATATAATCAAAGAAATTAGCAAAGGAAAGTCTTCGCTTCAAATTTCTGAGGATTTGAAAGGGGATCATCGAACAATCACGAAAATATGTCAAATGGGAATTCAACCAAGGAAAAAAGTTTCAGACTGAATTCAGGAATTTAACAAAGCGAGATCCATCACATATCCGAAGAGAATTAATAAGAAACCCAAATGCGTCAACTGCGTTCATTTCTGAGGCTGCTGGAGCTCATATGGTGTCAATGGAAACAAGGTGTAAAGCATTAAGGAAGTTTGCTGATGTAAAAAATCAAATAAAGAAACCCATTTTAACAAAAAAAGAAAAAACATAAGGAAAGAAGATTGCAGTGGACAAAAATATACATAAAAACTGATTTCAGTAAAGTGCTTTTTACAGACGAATCAAGGATCACCCTCGATGGGCCCGATGGATGGGCTCGAGGATGGGTTTGCAAGTAACACGACCTAAGGAAATTTTTTAAACGCCAACAAAGCGGCGGTGGGATCATGATATGGGCTGGGATTATTGGTAATGAGCTCGTGAGTCCATTTAAACTGAAAGACGGGGTTAAAATGAATTCCAAAAGTTACTGTGATTTTCTAGAGCAATATTTCTTTGAATGGCTTGATAACCAGTCTTTAGCCAAGCGTAGATCTATGATCTTTATGCAAGACAACGCACCAAGTCATGCATCAAAGTTTACTAAATCCTGGTTGAAAGAAAAGGGATTTGTTGAAGATTTTCTTATGGACTGGCCTTCAAATAGCTGTGACTTGAATCCCATTCAGAACCTGTGGAGCATCCTCAAGAGAGATATTTATTCTAATGGAAGGCAATTTAACAGCAAGAGTGACCTCTGGGAGGCAGTTAAAGTTGCTGCAAACAACTTACCAGCCGCTAAAATTGCAAATCTAATATCAGATGTTGACAATAGGCTGCTAAGTGTTATTGAAAAGAAAGGAGCATTTGTGCAATAAATTTTAGGAGGTTCTTATTATTTTTTGTTAATATATCTTTTATTTTTAAAATATATTTTTTTATGTATTTCCTTTAAAAATTGACGAAATTGTTCTAAAATATTTTCATATTATTTTTTTACATTAGTTTTACAAGGTATAATAATGTAAAAGTATCAAAATAAATAGTTGCAAATAAACTACTGACAGTCAAATTAGTCTGTTTTGTTAACTTAGTAAAAAAATTTTCCAATCAAAAACAATAGTTTTCTATATCACTATATATCTAAGTTAATAATATTGAGTAGAATGTAAACATCATCATAGGACTTTTAACATTAAACATGCAACACTTTATACCAATTCATCATAACTTGCATATAATCTCTAGACGCAGTTTATATATATATATATATATATATATATATATATATATATATAGCCTATCAAAAACTTTTATCATTTGAACAGATTCTTAGAAAGTTGATGGGCCAAAAGATCGCATTTTAAACCGGCACACACAAAATTCGATATACATACAAATATATATATATATATATATATATATATATATATATATATATATATATATATATATATATATATAGTGTGTGTTTTGTGTGTGTGTCTGTTTCTCTGGCAAATTTTCCACGGATTGTCCAAATCTAGTAAAATAACCGGTACTGCTGTCTTTATAAGGATGATTATAACTGTTTATGTCTGAATTTGATAACAACTACAAAGATGGTTCACAAAAGTTTAAATTGCGTATACGAATATTTTATTAAAATCTGACTACTTTTATATATATATATATATATATATATATATATATATATATATATATATATATATATCCATATATATATAGTGTCCAATTACCTACTGGTTCTTATTAATACATCAATGTTCTCTCGTGTTGAGATTTCTCTGAATGCAATGAAAGTTATGCATAGCTATCAACAATTGTGCCTATACCATGGGAAATTTAGAGTCTGTGATGTGATCTGCTCATCCACCGCCACAAACTTTTAGACGTCGCTGTACAACGAGTAACTTTCTCTCTCTTACTCTCTCTTTCTCTCCCTATTTATATATATATATATATATATATATATATATATATATATATATATATATATATATTTGTTTGTGTGTGTAAGTATGTGTCTGTCTATGTTTATGACGCTTCAGTATAATGACGAAAAAGATGGCAATTTATTTTATGCAATAAGCATTTGTTTTTTCAGCACGACAGACTTCTTTGACATTGCAGTTAATTCTGTTATAAATATTAATCACAAAGCTCGAACATTATTCAGTAAGAATTTTTCATTCAAATTCCGTTAGGCATTCACGTTTCATCCTTCGTATATACTGGTAAGGCAAAAAAAATATCCACTTCATGTGACAAGACTGACAAATACTTTTCTTTCTTAGGAGCGCATGCCTGTGCCAGAAATATATGAGCAAGTAAAATGTCTTCAATTTTCCCGTTTTCTCTCTTGAATGTCTCGGTTATAGGAGCAAAGGTAAAACTTTCTATCATTGTTTAGTGTCGACCCGGTCAGTTATGCTGATCGTGTATAGTCACTGGACAACGGGGAGAAGGGGACAAAGGGTTATGAATTACCGATGCGATAAATGAACGTAGGACTTTCCCCTCACGTACGACTTAACATGTGGACACAAGCTAGAGATAGCACTATTTGAAATGAAAGGCGGAATGTCTCCCACCATACAGTACATTCATCTTTGTTTCAGATAGACTTTTTTAACTGGGAAACAGTCAGACTTCTGAAAACAAATCTATATTACCTAAATCGTATTTATAGGCACCTATGTATTGGAAATGGAATATATATAAATGGAAATATGTAACCTGGCCAGGTAAATCTCACCGCCTGCTGAATATGATGTCCGACAGCATGGATTTTACTTGTCCCGGGGAAGGGACGAATAACATGCTTTGGAAAAGAGCGCATTCGTACTTGGTGTACATTGAGATACTCAGCCTCCATCAACATTATCGTTCACTAGATCATTATAGTGGCGGTTTTCTACGATGTTGATATTTTTCAACGGGACACTGAACCTTATACTGCATGAACTGTGCAGTTATAATTTTAGCAACATGGAAAAACAATTGTTTTACCCTAGGCAATGATATATTTATTGAGTACTCAAGGAGACGTTAGTACAAGAAGTACTTCCTGAGATAACTTAGCCAAAAGTAAATGCTGTTTACAAACTGAAATTCTGTAGCTTGAATACCCGATAGGGTACAAGCTATTTGATGGTCACGGGAAGAAACAGGGGATAGTAATGTTTTGGTTCCTCAGTATATAGACAAAAATAGGCCACGTTATTGTTATGTTACAATGTCTATATGAGAAAAATGAATGAGTGATAAATTTAACAAACCGATCATATAAACCTATTTTACAAGATATACTAAGAGTAAAAACTGCAGTTACATCCATTCAAAAGTATTACAAGGAGGTGTAACATACTTTTGTAGCTGAGTGATCAAAAACAACAGTAGAACACCGGAATTGATTTAACAACAATTTTATTACCTTTAGATACAGGGAAACTTAATGTAGAATACAAACTAGGTAAGTGAATGTTTAGCATTAATTGACAGTTTTCGGCAAAGGCTACTGCTCCTCCTGATACTCCTCTTGATGTAGGCGTATTTTTATGTCTTTCGTCCGACAGACGAGTCCAAACTTGTAGGGAAATATTCTCCCTCGCAACACAAACATGCATACACACGCATCCCATCGTGATTATTAGTTTCACGCCTTCAAATATCTTCTTTGCTTGAAGGTCACTGGAAGCGTGAAAATGACAGTCGCTATGCAGTGTTTATTACTTCGTTCACAATCTCTTTATCTAAATACAAATATATATATAATTGTACATAATTTACAATTTTTACATCATGCGTATATTTAGTAGGACCCCGGCGAAGATGTGGTATTGGGGTAGATTTTTGATTCAATGCAGAAATGGCTGCTTGTGTTGATTAAGGAAATTGTTAGAATGAATGGTTCGCGTGTCGGGTTAGCTCGGTGTTGACAAGACTTTCCCCACATCCATTCGTCATATCCATTACACAACTCGAATACCTAAGCTTACAGCATCTGGTATTCTCAAGCGGTCATCCATCTAGATAGTGTCTAGGATCGACGTTGCTTAACACAGGTGATCCCTTAACATGTATAGATATTAAAAATAAACGCAAACTATTTATCTACCTACCTACTTATCATAATGACTGGCCTCAAGCGATATGCCAATCACGTGTCACTACTTATTGAATGGGATCTGTATATAAGCTGCTGTCGATTAAGAGAAGTGGATATGGAGGAACATGTCCTTTCCAGTTCTTCTTTTTAGACGTAATGTTTAGGAATATGTTAGGTAAGCTCTTTAAATTGCTTATGATATTTGTCTACTTATTATTTTATTCATTTATAAATTTTCTTTATTTATTTTTAATATTTTATTTTGGATCTAATTAGAGTATGGGATTGAATCTTTTGGGTCATAATGCAGCTTTAGATAGTCTAGGTGGAATTTGGTTTCGTGTTTTCATTTGAAAATGATGTCCGATAGTTTGTTTAAGAGTTCATCTATTTCTGGAAATGTGTTGACGATTATTTTACTCCTCTGGGAAAAGAGGATTTTGTTTTGAATTGTTATAGGCTCGAAAATTAAAACAAAAACAAATATAAAAACAATTATTTATATACAAAAATTAATTGATTGATTTTCTATGGCTTATCAGGTTATTTAAAGCGACAAAATATTTTTAGACTGTAAGATTTTTTTTTCACATTAGTGATAAAAGTGTTACTAATTAATTCATATCTAGGAGGAAATATGGTGTCTCTACATTATTCCCAAGTGTATTTGTGTGTAAGCGAAATTAATGAAACTATCTGGAACTCTCTGATTACCATTCCCAAGCTATTATCCATTAAACCACTCACATATCTAAGTTTACAACACCTGGTATTTCTAAGCGGCCATTCATCTAGGTACTGACCAGGATCGACGTTGCTTAACTTTGGTGATCTTACGGGAATCAGTGTTTCAACGTGATGTGGCCGTAAGCCTTATTTAGAATAAAAGGATTATTCAAAGCGTGTACCGTGTATACTCGAGTATAGTGCACTATACACAGTAATATTTTTGAAGTGGTTAAAAATCATGCATTTTCGGTGATCGATTGCACAGGTAATTTTTATGGAGGGGTTAAAATTCGTGCCAAAATTTCAAGAATAGCATTATACATGAAGTCGACTTATACACGAGCATAAATCCAGTACATCTAAAAATAATTAAACAGAGATAATATAAAATACAAGGTGGGAAATCAAAGTTTCCAGTTCTATCAAGAAATTAGATTTTGAGATGCTGGTCCGAATGAGAAATTTTCAGCATCAATTTCTTATTCTAAAAGAAAGCGAAATACTTCCACTTACTTTTAAAGACTTCATAGCTTTGTATTTCACTGACACAGTTCTTTGACTTTCTATTATACCACCCCATCCCACCCAATTTTCTCCTAGGTCAAGTCAGAAAAATATCTTCACATTATTTACAACAATCTGTTCATGTCGTCTAACATCATATAATATATTATTCATTTCTAAATGATATTAGATTTAGAAGAGGTATTTTTTTTTGCAATATTAGATAAGCCTATTTGCTACGCTTTCCAATATAACACGTATGTTCTCGGGTAACGCAGAAAACCTTTTTGTTCACACTTGAAAATACTGTATTTAGTGACCCCCTATGATGTAATTACCAAAATTGTTTAATCAAATATACCAATAAAAATATGTTTGTTGCGCACTCCTTGATGATTACTTTTTAAACATTTGGCATCAACTCAAAAGAACTATAAACATGATCAGCAGATATTGATTGGCAAAGTTTGATTTCTTCTTTAGCTTCTCTGACGATAATAAAGTGTAGGATTTTTTTTGATATATTGATTAGTGATTCTGATTGGAAAAATATTTCAAATGATTTATTGATCGATAAAATGTATTTATTTTTTCTCCATCTTCAATTTCGTCTTATTTATTTTACTCTCTGGCGCTAGGAACGCAATTCTCGAAGCAAACATCTTACAAGCATATGAAAACGTGTAAATATTGAATAATTATTGACTGACTGCTGCCTATGTTAATGACTGCTTTCACACGAATGAATCTTTATAACCATGATATTTTGTCAAGAGTTTTCGCCAGTTAGAAAGCGCTTACTACTGCAAGACTAATTAGATATAATTGATTCTAAAATTCTAAAAGTTCTGGGTTTGGATTCGAAGAATCCACAATTTATTGCTAAGTTAATTGGCAATTTGGTGTAAATCGCTATCAAATTTTCCAATATTCTTTCAGATGTCTTATGATTTATGTTTTAGCTCAAGGTTTATAATTATTTAGAAAGCAGTGTGAATCCTAGTTTTACAGTTATTTATAAAGCTTTATTTTTACTTTAGAGCAAGCAGTGAAAATAATTGCTTTATAATTGTATTTTCTTCTTCTTCTTCTTCTTCTTCTTCTTCTTCTTCTTCTTCTTCTTCTTCTTCTTCTTCTATGCCGTGTCCCTTCAGTATATTAACGATCATGGATTTCCACAATTTCTGGTCCTTTGTACCTGTTAATAAACTTTCTCTCCTCATTATCACTACTAACCTCCGATTTGCCATCCATTATATACAAGTTATGCGTCGTCTCCACTGTCCCTCTAGCCTTCAATCTGCCATATGAGTATCAAATATTCCAAGCCCTCTTTCCGCATTATATTCCCGAGATATTTAAAAATTCTCTTTCTGAAGCGCAAAATGAGTGTATTTTGTGGCTTCCATTTTCTCTAAATCTTTGTCGTTTTTCATATCTTCGGTCGATGCAATTCTCAGCATCCTTCTGGAGAACAACACTTCTGTTCCTTCAAATCTCTTCTTCATCTGTAAGGAGATTTTCTATCATTCTCTACCATATATGAGGACTGATATTACGCAACATTCCTGTACAAATTGCATTGCTTCTAACGAGATATTCCTGTTTCTTATTTCATTGCTTAGCTTTTGGAAGGCACCTTTCGCTACCCCAATGAGCCTTAGGATATTAGTATCGCAATTTTTGTTACGTTAGTATAATCAATAAGAACGGTAGTTTTATAATTATTTCCAAAACTTAATTTGGAGTTTTCTAGAGAACTATAATTTTATTATTTGCAAAACATAAATTGTACTATGTGATCAATATTGAAAATCATAGTTTATTGTTATTAACTAGGCTTAACGTACTTTGGACTACTGGCTGAGAACCAATTGATTACCAGATGAAATGAGTCTGCGAGATATACCAGCTAAAGAATACGTAGCAGAATGTGTTCTTCAGTTGGTTTCATGGCTACAAATTGTAGTTGTGCCTTGGTAAATGACGCTTTCAGAAAATGCCAGCATTGAGTGTCATTTAACCTAAGCAACAAGGTTGGTGACAATAGTCCGAAAGATTTCTATTGTTGTCAACCCAAATTTTACGTTTTCTATTTCTACAATTCTTGCTCTAATCTGCACTCTGAAGGATTGTCTTCAACCTGAAGTGATTTGGGTTCATCCCTCATATCAGCGAATAAAAACCTGAAATGCTAGACGTCTAAAAATTGACTTTTAGGAAAATCGATTTCGATGTGCTTCTTCGGCTAAATCAAATGTTCCTTGAGATGATATTTCTTTGGCGGTGGTAGTTTGGTCGCTTTCAGAACTGTAGATAACGTTTTTAATGATATAGATTCCTTTTATTTAGTTTAAAATTTGCATCTTCAAATTCTTCAGATATTTTTCTGCTAAATAATCCATTTTTCTTGCTTATGGCTCATATCTTTTTCTCAAATATTTATTTTTTTATATTATTAACGTCATTTCTTTTTTCTTATTTTTCCAATGTTAATATATAAGATTTGTTACATTCTATACACCTGAGTAAATAAATTACATATTTTAAACATACCGTTATTTTTCATTGTGTATGCTGTTGTGGGATTGCCAAATGTGTAAGTATTTCCCTCTATAATTATATCACAAACCCCACATGTATTTTGGGTTGACTAAATTTGCATGAGGTTAATATGTTTTTATAGGTTTTTTGATTGGCGTTTACTTTTAATTCTTTTGGCCGTTTTTAGTATATCTTTTATTTTATCATTCTTGTTAAGTAGGTATGTGTTTCTTGTTATTTCTGGAAACTTTTTTGCATTTATTGGTGATTGCTGAAACGTATGCAAGAATTAATTCATTGTTGAATTTCTCTGTGTTTCGTATTTGGTCGAAAGGTACTTTTCTAATAGTTCGAAACCCATCTTAGTGGTGATGGGTATCTTCCTTTATTGATACTTTTACGTAATTCTTCTAGGCGAAGTTTTTAGAGAGGTATTATATATATATATATATATATATATATATATATATATATATATATATATATATACACGCAGACACAGACGGAGGTATTAACAATCTAATCAAGAAAACCTGTCTGTTTTATATTTTATTAGTTTTTTCTCTGTTTTTGATTAGGGGCTTTAAAACCGGTTGTTGTTAGTGTCCGCAAACTTGATCCTGGTGTAAAATATCTTATTCGCAAATTGGAAAAAAATACAATAGGATTTCATAGATGGAACTTGTCGACTGAAAACATGTTTGGATAAATTCGTTTTACCTAAACATGCGCCACACAAAAGACGGAAAATATTACACACATTCACAGAGGCAGAAACAAACACACATATATATATATATATATATATATATATATATATATATATATATATATATATATATATATATATATATATATGTACGTATTGAACGGAAAAGTTTATAAAGAATGTAATATTTTGTTTATTATTAAATATGCATTTCTCGAGATATTTATAATTTAAAAGATAATTCCTATCACATCTGAGCAGCATTATCTCAAATTCATTGCGTTTACTCACCTTTTTTCCCTTTTCCTCCGAGGTCATCAATCGCCGTTATTCGCAAAATATTGCAATCAGTCACAACTTTAATATTTTCTTTATTTTCACTCATTTGTTACATTGTTTTGACTTTCTATCTATTTTTTGTATCCGTTCTCCGGTTTTAATTTCGCATTTTTTTTCTTTTCCAATTCCACATTTCCTTATCGGTTTTCCATATATATATATTTTTTTTTATATTGAGGATTCCTTCCATTGTCCTTATTTATCTTGTGGTTAATTTGTTTCCTATTCAATCATTCTCTGCTGGAATAACAAGTTGAAATTCCATGGTGGATTTTAGGGAAAATTCACGATAGAAAATATCCATTTTTAACCTTACAGAACAAAGATAGCATATTTGAACTTTTTGGTTTTTGTTATTTTACATAATAAATCATTAACTGGCAGATTTGCAGAATAGAAAAAAAAGGTGATGCTTTTTCATTAAACTCTGCACATATTGAACTTCTATGCTGTTTTATTAGTTTTGCAGGTGAAGACTTTTTTATGTTAGGCGGGCCTTCGTTAATGCAAATTATGAAGTGAAAAAGAAATATGCAAAGCTATATATTCTATAAGAAACAAGAATTTAAAATTATAGAAGTTTTCTATCAACATAACATAGAATGTTTGTCGTTCGGTTGTCACACAGACACACACACACACACACATATATATATATATATATATATATATATATATATATATATATATATATATATATATATATATATATATACATGCAAGTTTCTTTGAAAACGATTAACAGGTTTTGGTAGTTGAATTATTTTGTATAATTTCTATTTGCTTTTCTTTTTTCATTTCAGAACATATATTATACAGAAATTAGTCGAATGTTTTTCAAACGTTTTCGACAATACTTTTAGTCATTATCATCGATGAATTTTATTTTACTTTTAACTGGATGCATGCATTGTTTTATGTATGTACCTAGAGTTATAAGAATGTCTTATTTTAAAAAAAAAAACGGTCAGCACCTTGCGGCCGTGTTCATAGTTGATATGATTGAGTGATGCCTTTTTCTTTTTAATAATAATTCTTCCATTAT